ACGTTTGCATGGTTAACTAAGCTGTCCATTACTAATTAAAAACTAATTTAAAAATTAGTGGTACTAATTAAAAAATAATTTTTTATTTATTTATTTATTTATTTATTTATTTGTATACCGCCCTGTGGCAAACCAATCCGGGCGGTGAACATAATAAAATACAATCAATACAATCTAAAACAACATCATTCCCCCCTCCCCCCTTAAAAAACTATTAAATCAGAATCGATTAAAAACAGACTACAATTAGCCAACAGTATAAATTTATAAAAATTCCATACAAACCCACAGCCCCTGCTAAAGGGAGTTTAAGAAGCGTTTATTAATAATAATAATAATAATAATAATAATAATAATAATAATAAGTTTTATTTATAGCCCGCCTCTCTGCCCAACAATTGAGGCGGGTTACACAAGTTAAAAATTGACAATGTAAAACAATTAAGAGCTCTTGGTCACAGGTCTCAAGGCCGGGTAGATTAATCTGGAAAGGCCTGCCAGAAGAGATCCGTCTTGACAGCTCTTTTAAAGCTATCCAAAGATGTTAATTGACGAATCTCATCCAGCAGGCCGTTCCAGAGTCTGGGAGCGACAACAGAGAAAGCCCTCTGGGAGGTCCCCGCAAGCCTTGTTTTTTGAAGCTGCAGCAAGTTCCTCCCAGAGGATCGGAGAGCACGGGGAGGATTATATGGGAGAAGGCGGTCCCTGATATAGCTTGGACCCAAGCCATTTAGGGCTTTAAAGGTGATAACCAACACCTTGTACTTAGGCCTCTAATGAGGATCATTCAGAAAAGACAGATGCTGCCATGATTAGTGTTAATTTCAGTTTTGTCTGGGTTTATACCTCATTTTCACACAGGAGCCATTTAAAACACAAGTATTAAGTGGAAGAAGGGGTAGATTTAGGGGAAAAATCTGTTCACTGTAAAACACAACAGGTGATTATGAGAGAAGAGGGTCTTTTCGCTAGAGAAGCTTGTCTAGTATTCTTGTAGGTGTTTTAAGAACGATGATTTAGAGCAGGGGTAGGCAACCTAAGGCCCGGGGGCCGGATGCAGCCCCATGAGGCCTTTGGACCGGCCCCAGGTCGATCCTGCCGCTGCCGCCACCGTCCACCATAATGATATTGATTATTGTTGTTATTACTTG